ACACACACACCTACACACACACACACCTACACACACACACACACACACCTACACACACACACCTACACACACACACACACACACACACCTATACACACACACACCTACACACACACACCTACACACACACACCTACACACACACACACACACACACCTACACACACACACACACCTACACACACACCTACACCTACACACACACCTATACACACACACACCTACACACACACACCTACACACACACACACACACACACACACACACATATATACATACCTACACACACATACGCACACACACCTACACTCACACACACCTACACCTACACACACACCTACACACACACACACACACACACACACACACACACACACACACACACACACACACCTACACACACATGTATTGTATATAAAATTATTATTGAATATCAGTATTCAAAATTATGGCATCATTATGTCATTCTTAGTATGGAAATGTTTCCAGTAAGATTTTATTTTTCTGAATGTCAAAAAGACATGTACTTCAAAATGATTATAATTAGTTCTCATAATACACTTACAAATGTCAGTCATTTATGAAATTTAGTCATAATTCTTAAGGTAGATGTAGAAGTTACTACTAGACTTACATTTGACTATGTCTTTTAGCAGGTAAGCAAATGCTGTGTGTACCATACACATTGATGTTACACACTTTTTATAGTATCATTTTGTTACAGAAACAAAGTGGCTGTGTATCCAAGTCATTGATTTTATTTTTTTTTAGTCAATACAAAATATATATACATATATATTTTACTTTCTGTCGTCACGTATTACACTTTGTTGTGTTCGTTGTGTTACTTAAAGATTTATTTTATATGTAGTTATCATTGCCTCAGTCTGTATCCATCCCGTACATTTGAAGCTTTAATCTAAAACACTAATGATATCAAACCTACAAGCAAGACATGCTTTGTCCATTATAATGGGCTGTATGTTCTTGTAATCCTAATGAAAATGTAGAATTTTACCATTAAAGATGTTTTTTTCTGTAAAAAAAAAAAAAATTCTGTAAAAAAAAAAAAATCATGGTGACGATTGTGTCATTTATGGGTAATACAAAGGTTTTCTTCCTAAAAAGAGGGAATGGATAGGAATACTGACAGATGCATTTTCTGTTTTAACTGCCATTTTTTCCAGGTTAGTGAGATAATTCTATAAACCTCTGATAAACTCAGTTGGAAGTAAGTGTAATATATAGTTTGCCTCATCTCAGTTGAGGTCCGTTCACCGTTCACTGTTCACTGTTCACACATTCACGGTTCTGCAAAAAGAAAAAAAATCAATCCATAATCCATTATTCCTTCTCATATATTTTTGTGGTTAATTGTACTGTATAGTTAACATGGCAATTAACAGCATAACTAACTGCTCATTTTGATTTAGCAACTGGATATTCTCAGACTCTCAGTATTGTTTTATTGTCTTAAAAGATGAACTGGGCTTTAAGAATGGTTGTCTGTTTTCAATAAATTTGCTATTTAGTCTGAAGGTGTGTTGATTATCCCAGGTTGACCTTGGTTTAGATTCCTTAATAGTAATGTACAATGGAATTTTAATACAAGTGTATGCTATGCTGAAACAAGTCAGGAACAGAGATGTATCCCAGGAAAAGTATTGGGAAAAATATAAAAGATACTTAGAAGAATAGAATTAGAAAAGTAATATATTGCAGTTTTCATGAAATTCTCCAACCCTTTCCTCTTCTCTCCATCTCTGTCAGTCTGGTTTTCTTCCTCTCTATCTGTCTATCTATCTTTTTATGAAATCAGAAAATGATAAATAACTTCACATCTTAATATCTCTGATATTAAATATTAAATATATTCTCTGTATCTAGAAGAAAAATATTGCATACATTAACTGTACAGTCAAAAGAGAGTTTGAATTCCACCTTCATTTCTTCATCAGGTCTGAGGAGTGTAATGCAAGGTAGGTCAGGTGAGTACATGGAATAAAGCAGCAGTCAGAGGAATAGGGATAGAATAAAGCCACAAAATGAGACAAGATGTGGACATGACGTTAATGAAAGGTCACCGGAATTCCTGCATCACATGGCAGAAAAGGATTCAGATGAATATGGTCTGTTTTACCTTTTGTGTATAACCTGCTTTATATTTTGAATAGTAATTTGTATATAGACACAAGTATTTTGTTTCGATAAGTAATATTACGTTTATGAAGACTGATAAAACACTCTTCCATGTAGATACTATGGTATGCTTCAGTATAATTGTGTGTGTGTGTGTGTGTGTGTGCAAGATTCAAACCTGATTGATCACAAATGATAACAATAATAATTGTAAAACATAAGCTATATCATTTATATTCAACATTCTTCGTTGCTCTCTCTCTCTTCTCTCTCTCTCTCTCTCTCTCTCTCTCTCTCTCTCTCTCTCTCTCTCTCTCTCTCTCTCTCTCTCTCTCTCTCTCTCTCTCTCTCTCTTTCTCTCTCTCTTCTCTCTCTCTCTCTCTTTCTCTCTTTCTCTCCTCTCTCTCCTTCTCTCTCTCTTGCTCTATCTCCTCCTCTCCTCTCTCTCCTTCTCTCTCTCTCTCTTTCTCTCTTTCTCTCTCTCTCTCTCTTTCTCTCTCTCTCTTTCTCTCCTCTCTCTCATTCTCTCTCTCTCTCTCTCTCTCTCTCTCTCTCTCTCTCTCTCTCTCTCTCTCTCTCTCTCTCTCTCTCTCTTTCTCTCGCTCTTCTCCCCCCCCCTCTCTCTCTCTCTCTCTCTCTCTCTCTCTCTCTCTCTCTCTCTCTCTCTCTCTCTCTCTCTCTCTCTCTCTCTCTCTCTCTCTCTCCCCCCCCCTCTCTCTCTCTCTCTCTCTCTCTCTCTCTCTCTCTCTCTCTCTCTCTCTCTCTCTCTC